CCACCTTAGGTGTATGTGGCTGGCGCCTTAGCCGCTTGAGCCACAGGCGCTGAGCCAAGCTGTGACCCTTTAATACAGTTCCTCAGGTTGTGGGGACTCCCATCCATACACAATATGAGGAACTGTATTAAAGGGTTACAGCATTAGGAAGGTTGAGAACCACTGCTGTAAGGTATTTCAATCAGTAATCATATAAGGCAGATAGTGTTATTATCATCGTCTGTTTTTCAGGTGAGAAAACTGTTCCCTGGAGAAGTGGTCTCTTGCCCAGAGTTATGTAATGACAACAAGCACATACATAGGCTGGGCATGGTAGCTCACGTCTATGATCCCAGCACTCTGGGAGGCCAAGGCGAGTGAACCCCTTGAGCTCAGGAGTTCAAGACCAACCTGAGCAACAGTGAGACTCTGGGGGCCGCACCTGTGGCTCAGTAAGTAGGGTGCTGACCCCATGTACTGAGGGTGGTGGGTTCGAACTCGGCCTTGGCCAAACTGCAACAACAAAAAAATCCAGGCGTTGTGGCGGGCACCTGTAGTCCCAGCTACTTTGGAGGCTGAGGCAAGAGAATCGCCTAAGCCCAGGAGTTGGAGGTTGCTGTGAGCTATGACACCACAGCACTCTACAAAGGGTGACAAAGTGAGACTCTGTTGCTAAAAAAAAAGAGTGAAACCCTGTCTCTACTAAAAATAGAAAAACTAGCTGGGTGTGGTGGTGGGCACTTGTAGTCCCAGCTACTTGGGAGGCCAAGGCAAGAGGATCACCTATGCCCAGGAGTTTGAAGTTGCTGTGAGCTGTGATGCGACTGCACTCTAGCCTGGGTAACAGAGTGAGATTGTCTCAAAAAAAAGCATGTACATAGAACTTCTTGCATGCCAGCACTAGGAGAGTAAAATTCATTTAATCCTTAGAACAACTTGATGGAATAGTTAACTCCATTCTACGGGAGGGAAAAGCTAAGCCACAGCAGTTAAGTAATGTGCTAAACATGAAACATTTGTCCTGGTAATAAGAGGAGGTGTCAGGACTCGAACCCAGACCCTCTGGCACTAGAGCCCAGTACCTGACCAGCACTCTGTACTGCTCTCTGGTGAGTGGGCTCTACAGATCTATCCAAGCAGATGGAGAAATAGGTTCAGTGAAGACCCTGGCCAAGGTCACACAGCTTAATGAAAGTGTGGACTGGATCTGGTTTTTCTGATTTTGTGTTCTTTCTATATACCACATGCCCCTGCCTGAGGACTACCCTCCTCTGAACTGCTCTGAGCTTCTTGTCTGCAGTCCTCTACCCACAGTAGAAATCTGTGGCTTTGCCTTGGGCCCTTGTTTCTGATGAGTCACTTCTGCTTTTCCATGATAAGACTATCAGATCTGGGGCGGCACCTGTGGCTAAAGGAGTAGGGTGCTAGCCCCATATGCCCAGGGTGGTGGGTTCAAGACTGGCCCGGTCAAAACAGAAAAAAAAAAAAAAAAGACTATCAGATGTGAGTCCCCTTTTGGCCTGCTTCCCAGTGCTCCACTGGGTGTCTCAGGCTGGGCTGAATCCTGCAATACAGATATGGACACGTCCCTGCCTTCCATGGTCTGGATGACTGGGGCACTTAGCAAATGTCAACCAGGAGCGAGTAGATCTGGGACCACTGGTAGCTGCTGGGTGGACTGAAGGAGCTGCCCCTCTCCCACCGTTCTTAGGCCCAGCCAGGAGCTGGCCTGAGCGTGCAGGCCAGACTTACCCGAGCCTTTTGCTGTCGTGCCCGCCTCACGATGGCAGCCCTCCTCAATTTGGTGAAGGCTGCTCTCTTCTTCAGTAGGTCATTGTAGAGGAACAGGATCCGCTTCTTCTCTCGCTGAAGGCAAGACAGGGGCCAACAATAGTGACAGTGCTGAGGAGGATGACATTCCCCAAGGTGGAGTTGGAGGGGAGCTGGGTGTAGCGTGTGAAAGCATGTGTGCACACATGTGTGCTTGTGCATGCAGGGATGTAGGAGTGGAGAAGTCTAGGGAAGGGCACACCTTGGGGAAGAAAAAGGCTGCAATGACCCTCCGGAGCCGGTAGCCAAAAGCCTGTAGCAGGCAGAGACATACTAGCAGGCCAGTCGGTAGCACAGCTCTCCAATAGGCCCTGGCATCCAGGCCCACAGGCTGGGGCAGGCAGGCTGCGGGAGAGGGTGGGCCCATCAGCATTCTGGTCAGGGCTAGGCTAGGTACAGGGCAGCCTGTGTTGTATCCCCATCCCAGTGGAAGGTCCTCCCGCTTTCCTCCTGTCTGCCCCTTGCCCTTTAGCACCATGCCATCAATACTGCAGCCACTACCATGAAGCTGATCTTGATAATTTCCACCAGGGTACAAGGTTTTATAGGATAGTGCTGCTCTAGAGGCCTGGGACCTTCCAAGCCTCAAGACACTAGCCTCCAGACTCCTTCACCTCAAGCCTGACATCTCCAAACCTTTCCAGATTGAGCCCTGCTCTGATTTCTCCAACTTGAGCTTGCTGGGCTCGATCTTACCACACCCAAGGCCCAATCCCCAACTCTTTACCTTGGAGTCTTTGACCCTTGCCCTCAGTTCCTCTGATTCAAACCTTCAGCTTCACTCACGCATGTTGTTTGATTCCATCACTGTTTCTGAGGAGGTGTTCAAGGCCCCAATGGTTTTCCTGAGAAGCCGGGCGAGCATGGAATCTCCCTCAACCTTCACCTCCAGTTTGTGGCTGCCTGAGGCCATGAGTGCAGTGTGGGAGAATCAGAAAAGAGCTGGAGTTAAGGGGGTGGGGCGGGATAGGAGCTGAGTGTTGAGGAGGGTCAAGACACACAGATACTTCTCAGCTGCACAGGGTAGTCCACCACTACACTAACCCCCAAATCCTCTCTATTGTAAAGGTAAAGGTTAACTGAACCCCCCTAGTGACAGTTGTCAGGTTGTAAGACTGAGATTTGACCTTGAGGAGAACAGGGAGGAGCTAGGTCACAGAAAAGGGAATGGAGGGCTGGGCATGGGGGCTCATGCCTGTAGTCCGAGCATTCTGGGAGGACAAGTTTGAGACCAGCCTGAATGAGAGTAAGACCCTATCTCCTAAAAAACAACAACAGGCTCAGGCAACTAAGGTGCCAGCCACATACACCGGAGCTGGCAGGTTCGAATCCAGCCCAGGCGAAAAAATAGCCCTCAGCTTGGCGCCTGTGTCTCAAGTGGCTAAGGCACCAGCCATGTACACCCAAGGTGGCAGCCTGTGACCACCAAACAACAATGACGACTGCAACCAAAAAATAGCTGGGCATTGTGGTGGGCGCCTGTGGTCCCAGCTACTAAGGAAGCTGAGGCAGGAGACTTGCTTGAGCCCAGGAGTTGGAGGTTGCTGTGAGCTATGATGCCACGGCACTCTACCCAAGGGAACAGCTTGAGGCTCCTGTCTCAAAAAAAAAAATAGCCCTTGGCTATAGGCTTTCTTGAGGCACATGTGGCTGATCCTTGGGCATTGTGGCAGGCACCTGTAGTCCTAGCTACTTGGGAGCCTGAGGCAAGAGAATCACTTGAGCCCAGGAGTTTGAGGTTGCTGTATGCTGTGATGTCACAGCACTCTACCCAGGGTGACAGCTTAAGACTCTCTCTCTCAAAAAAAACAACAACAAAAACAACAAAACACTAGTGGGGTGCTGTGGTGGGTGCCTCTAATCCTAGCTACTCAGGAGGCTGAGTCAGGAGGATAGCTTGAACCCAAGAGTTTTAGTTTGCTGTGAGCTATGACACCATGGCGACAGTGAGACTGTGTCTCTGACCAGTGGCTCATGCCTGTAATCTTAACAGGAGGCCAAGGCAGGTGGATTGCCTGAGCTCACAGGTTCAAGAACAGACTGAGCCAGAGCAAGACCTTGTTTCTAAAAATAGCCCAGCCTCGTGGCAGGTGCCTATAGTCCCACCTACTTGGGAGGCTAAGGCAAGAGAATCACTTGAGTCCAAGAGTTAGAGCTTACTGTGAGCTATGACGCCACAGGGGCGACAAAGTGAGATGCTGTCTCAAAAAAAAAAAAAAAAAGAATGGAGTTGGTGGTTGAACAGGGGGTGGTGTTGCCTACGGGCTGTCTCTCCAGCAGGCCTGGGACTTGGAGTGGGGAGGCTCACTGTGGAAGGAGTACTGCAGGAAGGAGTGGTGGCTGATGGTGTTGAAGATGGAGTAGAGAGCACCATCTAGTCCGCACAGCACCAGCAGCAGCAGCAAGAGGGGCAGCGTCTCCAGGAGCTCCCTTACCTGCCCAAAGAGCATGAGGGTATACCTGGGCATGCTGCCTGCCTGGGGACGGAGCTCAAGTTGGTGCCTTCTACCCTCCATCCCTGTAGTTGCATCTAGAAGCCTGCTCCTCACGTCATCCTCACCACATTTCTCATTTCTGAGCCCTGGATAGTGGGCTTCCAGGGGAAGATGAGAGTTTTCTCCTCAGCTTTGTGCAGTGGCAGCAGTGTTGATTTGCCCTAGAAAAACATGTTGGTGGCTCGGCGCCTGTGGCTCAAGTGGCTAAGGCGCCGGCCACATACACCTAAGGTGGCGGGTTCGAATCCCCAGCCTGGGCCCTCCAAAAAACAATGATGGCTGCAACCAAAAAAAAAAAAAAAAAAATGGCCAGGCGTTGTGGCGGGCGCCTGTGGTCCCAGCTACCTGGGAGGCTGAGGCAGGAGACTCGCTTGAGCTCAGGAATTGGAGGTTGCTGTGAGCGTGATGCCATGGCACTCTACCCAGGGGGATAGCTTGAGGCTCCGTCTCAACAACAACAAAAAAAACATGTTGGCACAGTTAGGAACCCAAAGCGTGATGCCATTCCCCTCTGCTCTCCTGGACACGAAGCCCACACAGGGCACACAGCAAGGCATCCTTGGGCAGGACCATGCCTGCTCACCAGCTGCTTCCTGCGTTCATCGATCTGACAGAAGTAGGTGCTGATGTACACGTTGTCAAAACGAATATCCCGGTTATAGCTGTCCATGTAGGAGAAGGACCTGTGGATGGAAGGGCAGGGATGCCTCTGTCCCTTCCTGCAGGTTCTCCACACACACCCTCAGCTACGGGCTTCCTTGAGGCACATGTGACTGATCAGACAGCACTCCGTGAGTACCACTTATGTTCTCAGCACTGTGTGAGCAATAGTGACTGCAAGGCAACTCTGCCCTGCCTTCCACACAGTGGGTGAGGCAGGACTTGGAGGCAAGGCATGGCCAGCCTGTGCAGGAGGGTGTGTGTGCCCATGAGGTAGAGACAGGCAAGCAGCCCACAGGAGGAACAGCACGCAGAGGCACAGACATGGGAACCTCCTCAAGACTGTGGGAGTCGGCTCGGCGCCTATAGCTCAACCGGCTAAGGCGCCAGCCACGTACACCTAAGGTGGCGGGTTCGAATCCCCAGCCCGGACCCGCCAAACAACAATGACGGCTGCAACCAAAAAATAGCCGGGCGTTGTGGCGGGCGCCTGTGGTCCCAGCTACTTGGGAGGCGGAGGCAGGAGACTCGCTTGAGCCCAGGAGTTGGAGGTTGCTGTGAGCTGTGATGCCACGGCACTCTACCCAGGGGGACAGCTTGAGGCTCTGTCTCAAAAAAAAAAAAAAAAAAAAAAAAAAAAAAAAAGACTGTGGGAGTCACCTACTCTACCATGACTCCCTTGTCTACCTCTGGAGTCCCTGCCTCTTGGCTTTATCTGCAGATGGTGGCTTTACCAAACCACCATCTTTCTTCCCTTAGCACACCCTTGTCCTGCCCTGGCCACCCTTGACCATAGTAGTGTTGTGTGCAGTGTGCATGCACGCATGTGAGCAAGTGTGAACATGCACTCAGGAGAGCATGCATGAATATGTAGCTATCCTCTATTATCTTCCTAAGGCCCACGTACTGCTTCAGTTTCCCAAGGAAGAAATGTTAATTGTTGGAAATATGTTTAAAACTGTAAAAGTACAATAAGTAAACGCTGTAAAGTGTGAAACATAAGTTCCAACGCTATTGGTTCTGGGGCCCTGTAAAAATCTCACTCTTTGCCTTTAAAATAGAAACTCTGTAACTGTAAATGCAAAGGCTGTGAGCGCCCCCTTGTGGAGAGACCCATGGTGGCAGTGCCTAAGTTTTCCAAGCCAGGCTGCCCTCCCACTAGTTATCCTTTTAGTGAGTGACCTCAGCCAGGTTGAAAGCCTGGAAGTGGCTCTAGCCTCTGGGTCTCCTTCCTCCCCTCCTGAGCTGGTTCTGAGACCTATTTACACCTTTCCTGCTTCCTCCATTTCAAGCCATCTTCCTGCCACACCCTACCTTGGCCAGGCTCTTGACCCAAGCCTGTCCTTGCCTCCAATCTGCCCCCATCCATCTTGCAACCAACTTCAGTTCAGAGCCTTCCTGCAGAGCCTTCCAGACTATTTTGGTTATGTCTATCTCAGCCCCGTCCTCCACCCCAGATTCTGCCCTCTGCATCCTACAATCCTTGCCCAAGGAATACCCTTTTTTCCTTGACCATTGCTCCCTATCCGCAGCCTTGCAGAATCCAGTTACGGCCCTTGCAGGGGCAACTCCTCAGCTCCACACAGCTGTCCTGGTAGTTAGCCCATGATATGGCCCTTGAACCGTCTCAGTCACCACTCCCACTAGCCCATGAACTTCTTGAGGACAAGAATATGTCCCCTTCATCTTTGCCCCTCCATGGCCCCAGAAACACATAACCGCTTACTTGCAGTCACTCTGGGCCCCACAACAGGGGCAGACAGAGAGTAGCCCCTGCAGCTGCCCCTGCCCAGCCCCTGCCCACCCCTGGCACCTGGGGGTGGAGACGGAAAATAGAGGGTCCAGAGGTCAGGAGGGGAGCAAGAGCAGAGAGGCCTGGGCTGCCCAGCTGGATGCTGGGCTGGGTGGGGTTGAGGACTTTGTTCTAAATGGAGGGAAAGTAGCTGCCAACACAGCAGGCAGGAGAAAATGAAAGCAAAATCAGATGATAAAAATGGCACAAAGTCAGAGCCAAGGGGAATATGAAGGGCAAGAAAAAATCAAAAGTCAAAGCTAAATGTAAAAAAAGCCAGTTTTAGGATAAAGGCTGGAAGGAGGCAGATAAATGAAGATGGTTGCCCTTTCAAGATGGTGGGAACAGGGGTAATGTTTCTTCTGACAGAATGTCCACTTTTCCTTTAACTCTGTATAAACAATGAACCTAACTTAAGAAGGCAAAGTTAAAGGAAAAAAACCATTCTGGTTCAGAGTTGGGGATGGGATCTGCAGTTCCATCTTTATCACCTCCCTCCAGGCAGGGCCCCCAGGGAGGGTGAAGGAAGGACTGGGCTAGGGCCCTGACTCACGCGTGGAGGACCAGCAGGAAGGTGCAGGACAGCAGTGCATGCAGCAGCTCCAGGGCTTGCTCCAGCCGGGCCTCCTGGCGCTGCACATAGCCCCGCACCTCGGTGCTCACGGTCTCCCACCTCGTGTTGAGGCCCAGCATGGCAGCCTGCTTCTCTTCCTGGTGGAGGCCATGCACAGGTTCAGCCTGCAGCAGTCTTGCCTGACCCACACCAGCTTCTTGGTGACATCTCTCCCCTGCAACCTGACTCATGTCCCCAGGACCCTCCCAGGATCTCCAGGAGTTGTCCCTTCTGCTCACTATCCTCTCTGACACAGTCTTGCTCCCTTGCACCTGTATCAGCCGATACCAGCTCACACCTAGCTGACCATCCCACTGCATACCAGGCTGGCTTTGTCCCTCTCCCTCAGCACCAACACCATTTCCCTACTTGCCTTCCTCCCCCACCCCGTCCTGTCATCTCTTTCCTATGCCCTTTCACTTGTACTTCTCATACCCTATTCCCTAATGCCCTCCTCCCACTCCCTATCTTCTCCCCCAACCAATGACCTTGCTTCCTACCTTGAGGTTAATCCTGGCTGAGAATTCCCCATCTAGGCTGTGGACAGATTGGTTGATGGAGTCATAGGTCTGCCCAAAGTTGCCTTCCACTGGAATGCGACCACGGCACCAGATCTCCATCACTGGTGGACACGTGGGGCCAAGTAAGGGCTCCATAGCCAGCCTCCAGGCCCCTGCCTGGCTGGCTTGCCTGCCCTCCAGTGGTCCTCTTCATCCTGCCTTCTCCTCTCTGCCCAAGGCTGTCCACCACACTGAGTCTTCCTCTCTCTGCTCTCTTTGGATCCCCAGGAGCCAGTCCTGTTTACTCCCTTCCCACCCTTCTTAACCAAAACAGACACTAATAATGACTGCCAGTGTCTTAGAGCACTCCCTCTGTGTACTAGCTCTGTTACCTGCATTAGCTCTTTGGCTCCTCAAATACCCCTCATTGGATAAATGCTATTATTGTGCCGATCTTTCAGATGAAGAGATGAAGCCGGAGCTTTGCTATAAATCACCTTGGTTCACAAAGCCGGTCAGGGGATGGGCTGCCTGGGAGGGTGCTATGTCCTCAGAGCCTAGGTCCTCCCACCTGACTGCTTTCCTGTGCCACACCTCCCAGTGGGCCCCAAGGACTCAAATCCCTGGCCCTAGTGTTCCCTGAGCTCCTGCCACTGTGCTGACCCTTGGCAATGCTACAGAAGAACTTGAACTTCATGGGCAGACAGAGCAGGTGATTGAGGAGTGGGACCCAAATGTGTTGCATGCACTGTTCATGCTTCTTGTCAAACCAACGGCGGCAGCTGAGCATGGCTTTGTTTACAACATCTGTAGGAGGGAGGAAGGGGTGTTAAGGTCCCTACATCCTAACCTAGAGCCCCAGCGCAGCCACCTGCCCAGGGACACCCCTCACAGGAGCAGCGCAGCTTAGTCTTCAGCTCATACATCTTCTGTGTTGAGAGGTGGACTCTGGAGGCTGGGGCTTGGCGGGTCTCTACCCCTTGGGCTGCCTCCTCTGTGTCTGTGACATTCTCAGGCGTGTAGCCGGCCTCACTATTCACCTGGGCATCCAGGTCTTCAAAAGAACTGGTGATGTTCTGAGTCTCTGCTGTCAATGATTCTTTGCTGCCCTGGAATTGGAGGGGGAGGGAGAGGGAGGACAGAGTGGCAGGTGGGGGTTTAGATTTTCTTCTGCCTGACAGCCTGTCCTCCCAACAATAGCCAAACTTTATGCTCTTACCACAGACCTACAGGGAGCCTAGGCCCTGAGACACAGCCTCTCACCTCAAATTTCCCTCCATCCATAGTCCAGGAAGCTCCCTCTCTCACCAGCTGCCTCAGCTATGCCCCAGGTATTAACTGCACTCATGTCCTAGATTCCCACTTCCTCCTCCAGCCTCCCATCCCAGATCCTTACTAGTCAATGATGCCCCAGGTCCTTGGACTCACCCTTCAGCACTAATCTTTTAGACTATGTCTTCTTTTTTTTTTTTTTGAGATGGAGCCTCAAGCTGTTCCCCTGGGTAGAGTGCCATGGCATCACAGCTCACAGCAACCTCCAACTCCTGGGCTCAAGCGAGTCTCCAGCCTCAGCCTCCCAAGTAGCTGGGACTACAGGCGCCCGCCACAACGCCTGGCCATTTTTTTTTTTTGGTTGCAGCCATCATTGTTGTTTGGTGGGCCCAGGCTGGGGATTCAAACCTGCCACCTTAGGTGTATGTGGCTGGCGCCTTAGCCGCTTGAGCCACAGGCGCCAAGCCTAGACTATGTCTTCTGAATTCCCCAACTTCCAAGTCCCTTAGCTCCCATCTCCCCAATTCTCCACCTCTCCAATTCTCCTAAATCCCCAATCTCCAGACCTCAAATAACCAGTTCCCTAGTCCCCTGGTCTTCAAAATTCCTGAACTACTCAAGACCAAGGCCCCCAATTTTCCTAGGTGTTCTATTTTGCTGCCTAGAGTATTGCTCACTCAGGATATGTCCCAGTGATTGGGAGACTCTCCTGGCATTTTGTGTCCCAGAACCAGGATACATTCTGCAATGCTCAGAAACTGACCTGCAGAAAATACCAGCAGTATCCCCACTGAGAAACTGTAAAGCCAGGGTGTCTGTTCCCAGCTCATGCCAACTTGGCCCAGGGAAAGGGACCCCCAGGCTGCCTATGCAGAATCCTTACCAGAAGGTCCTTGAACACGGTTCGCAAGGGGGCTGTGGAGATGCGCCATGATGCCCGGGTGTTGTTGACCTGCAGTTCCACAGTGCAGCCCACCGATGATATCACATTGTTAAGGTTGTGCCGCAGATTGGCCACTGGCCCTGGAGGAAGATCCCTGGTGGGTCACCTCTCTGTAGAACCAATGCTTTCCCAAACCCACCCCTCACCCTTGCTCTGTATTCAGTGACCATCTTCTAGAACTACACCGTGACAGGGACAGGAGGTCTATGAGAGGTCATCTTACTCAACCCTTGATTTTTTTCACTCATGTAAATTGAGGACGCACAGAGGTGGGGAGGAGCTCTCCTAGGGACACACAGCAATTTGGCACAACTGGGATTAGATCCCATCTTTTCTCCTTCCTAGGTCTGGCTCTCATTGGATGGCCCACCCAGGGTTACTAGCCAGCACTCAGGGCACACACTCACCTTCATAGATGGCAGCCAAGGCATATCCCAGGACAAAGAGCCTGCCCTCTCTGCCCAGCATCTTGGGTACCAGCAGGAGGCTGGCACAGCGGATGTGAGGAGAGGTCCCCCAGCTTATGGCCCCCAAGCCTGTCAGGAAAGCCCCCAAAAGCAGTAGGGTAGGTGTGGACACCATCCCACCCATTGTGCTCACCACAGCACCCAACTGCAGCAGTCCTGGTTGGAGCCACCACTGTCCTGCCCTTATGTCCATTCATATGGACTTTGATAAGCTTCCTAGGCCACTCATTCATTCATCCACCTGCCACTTACAGAGCTCAACTGTGTGCCAGTCTGGAAGGGTGTGAAGAGGGGACTGGAGTTTAAAAAGCTGCAAGTGTGTGCATAAGAGGTGCTTGTTTGCATTAGGGAAGGATACTAACATGTTTCATGTCCAGCATGGAGCTGTACCTGCCCTAGGTGATGATGGGAGCAGAGAGAGCAAGACCAACATACTGGAAATGAGCATGGTCAGAGGAGCGGCCAGAGGCCACCTGGGTATTCCCAGTGCTCTGACACCTGCAGCTCTTCCAACTGGGATGCCGGGGATGTTTTCACAGTCTCACATGTGTCTCCTTGTGGTCTCTGCAAGGAGACAGGGAGTTCCTTAAAGCTCATAATCCAGGAGAGAGACAGATGAGTAAACAAATGACTGCAACGGGATGTGCTAAGCGCACAAGGGAGGCGCTTACAGAGAGCTGTGGGAGCCGTGAAGGGAGGAGGCATTTCTACAGGGAGGGGTGGGGCTGGGAGGCTGGACAAAGAGATGATGAGTCAGCTGGGCCTGGAAGATGAGTAAGTGTTGTTAGGAGATGTCGATGGCATTCCGGGCCAAAGGAACAGCATAAGCTGCTCAGGGAAGCTAGAAGATTCCTGTGTTGATGGAGTGTTCATCCAATGATAGCCAAATCAAATCTCAAATCTTTGTACTTCCCTCCATCTCTACCCTCTTAGAGGATGGTAGCCCCATCATCTCTCACTGGGACTGTAGCTTTCTAACTAGTGTTCCTGCTTTCTCTCTTGCTACCTTATATTTCAATTTTCACAAAGGAGCCAGAATGATCTCGTAAAAGCATTTATTGGATCATGTCCCTTCCCTGCTCCAAGCCATTCAGTGACTTTCTATCACATGTGGGACAAAATCCAGACTCCCTTTACATGGCCTACCAGCCCTCATGGTCTGGCCCCTGCCTACCTTCAGAGGTGATCTCATGAGACTTGGCCCTTCACCTACCACGTCCACCCACACAGACTGTTGCTGTGCCTTGGACACGCCAGGCTCCTGCCTCCTCTCGTGTCTTTGCCCTGACTGTGCCCTGCCAGGAGCACTCCTCCCCGGCCCTTCACGTGGCTGCCCCCACCTAGTCAAACAGGCCTGTGGCACCAAGTGCCACCCACAATTTTTTCTGCCCTTCTCCTCGCTAACATAACTTGGGTTTTGTTCAAGAGCAATAGCTTGGCCCTGTGCTGGCTGCTGAGGGGGTAAATCTGGATCTGTCTAAACCAACTGTGGTATAACACGGCATTGAAAAGGACTTGTTCTGTGGTCTTGGCCTTTTGGCCAAAGACTCAGCTGAGGACAATAGCTGACAAATAGTTGCCCTGGGTTCTAAAGAGAGGGTCCTGGCACTGCTGGTGTCTTCCTTGGGCTCACCAAAGGAGCAAACAAGTCTTTCGCTCTAGCCCAGCCGGTCCACACAGAGAGCAGAAACGTGAACATCCTGGCAGTGGAAAGAAGCATCTGGGGGGAGGGGCACAGAGAGTCTGTGGAGAGCATGGGTGTCACATGTGAGAGGCTTCAGAGTCCCAGGACTCCTCAGGGAATGGCACTACAAGAAGGGGAATCTGCCTCATCCCTCCTGGGCTGGACTGCTACCAAGCCCTCGAAGGGTCACCCCAGGGCTGCCCCCAGAGCATGGAGGTCTGGGGGGCGTTTTAGGGTTGCTCAACAGGGCCTCTCTTGCATGCGAGCATGGAGACTGGCGTCATCCCTCATCAGGGCAGCCACACAGGGCCCTGCTTTCCCCATATGGCAGGGCAAGGATATGTACATTTCCCCTGGGATAGGGGGATGTTTTGAGGGGCAGCAGATCTGAGTTTTCTGTGAGGTTCCCCTCTAAGAAGGCAGCTTGCTTGAGGCACAGGTCCAAAAGTAAGAGGCTATGGGTGGCCTGTAGGAGCTGAAGGGGGCTTCATTAGGGATCAGCCAAGTAGAACTGCCCTTGGCAGGAGACTGGGCACTACCAAGGTCTGCAAAGAGCCTCCAAAGAGACCACATGAACCCACCAAGACAGCCAGGGAGTGAGCACCTGCCATATAGAGGGCACCGGCAATGGAATTATAACAGTATTGATGACTCCAGACTTTTGTCCCTTTTCCTCTTATTCTTCTAATCTCCTTTCTGACATCAGAAGAACCAAAAAGGGAAGGAAATGGAGAAAAAAGTGAAAAAGCAGGCCAAGGCCCCTTCTCTATAGCAAGGAATTGGGCCTGCGCCAAGGGGTGAGGGTAGGGTGAGGAGGGAAGACGCTTGAAAATGGAGCTGAGGTTAAATTTTTGATATATAGAGTAGGTTGGACCTCTCAACCCCCTGAAAATAAGTTATAATTACAGAAGCAGGGCTAGGTCTTCCAAAGGAAAATCACCAGAAAGCTAAGGCATCTGTGTGAAAGATCATCAATGGGAGACTATGTCTGAAAATGGCATCAGAGCAAAAGTATCCACCAGGATTCATTCAACAAACTGATGATGATGCTAATTCCATCCCCTTGCCTGGGATAAGCTCAGGAAAGGACATGTGTTGTAGTTCTGACCGAACAGTTGGGAGAGGAAGTCTTCTGGGGGGATTATAGGGAAGTTTTCCTTGTTCCGTAAAAAGGAAATGAGAAAGGGATGTTCCATTCTCTCTTTTCTGGTGGTTGACATTCTCATATAGAGATATGATGTTTGGAGTTGCTGAAACCATTTTGTGACCTGAAGAGGAGTGGGTGACAGGCCAAAGATGGCAGAGAGAAAACAGTACAGGAACCCAAGTCCTGGGTGGGGTTAGTGAGCTGCTGAATTATCCAAACTTCAAAACCACCCTACCTTGAAACCTTTTACTATGTGAGATAATAAGCTTCCTCCATGGGTAAACCACTTTCAGGTGGGTTTTCTGCTCTTGCAGCTCAATGCCTCCTGACACAGATCTCTGTTCAAACACACCTTCTATGAGAAGCCTTCCCTGGCTAATCAAGTCGGGGCAGCTCCCCAGGCTCTTTTTATCATGTTGCCTTGTTTTACTTTTTTCATAGTACTTGTTACCATCAGAAATGCTCTTATTTATCCTTCACTTTTTTTTTTTTTTTAGAGACAGAGTCTCACTTTGTCACCCTCAGTAGAGTGCTGTGGCACCACAGCTCACAGCAACCTCCAGCTCTTGGGCTTAGGAGATTCTCTTGCCTCAGCCTCCCGGGTAGCTGTGACTACAGGTACTCGCCACAACACCCAGCTATTTTTTTTTGCAGTTTGGCTGGGGCCAGGTTCGAACCCGCCACCTTCAGTATATGGGGCCAGTGCCCTACTCACTGAGCCACAGGCACTACCCTTTTTTTTTTTTTTTTTTTGAGCCTGAGTCTCACTTTGTTGCCTGGGTAGAGTGCCTTGGTGTCATAGCTCACAACAACCTCAAACTCTTGGGCTCAAGTGATCCTCCCAGGTAGCTGGGACTACAGGCACCGACCACAACGCCCATCTATTTGTTTTTTTAAGGGAAGGAGTCTTGCTCTTGTTCAGGTTGGCCTTGAATTCCTGAGCTCAGGCAATCCGCCTGGCTTAGCCTCCCAAAGTGCTAGGATTACAGGCGTGAGCCACTGTGCCTGGCCACTGTGCCTGGCCTATCCTTCACATATTATCTAACTCTCTCCACTGGAATGTAAGCTCCAAAAACCCTGGGTGCTTGTCAGCCGTGGTCATGGCTGACCCCTCAGCAGGTGCTCAGTAAGTGCAGGTGAAAGAATGAATGAATGAAGGAATAAACTGAATTTCTTAGGTCAAGAGAGAGGAGGATTATGAAGTGTTGTGGGGTCTAGACTATATCACATGGGCAAGGGAGAGGCCCTCAGATGGGAAAGAGTTCTTGAAGGCAAGGACTTTGTTTTCTTCCTTAAATTGGAAACCTTTTCTCTCTAGACCTCCCCCTAAAGCCCAAGAGGGGGCTGAAGCCACAGGAAGCTCAGGCACAGACAAGCTCTGACTCCTTCCTGGGCATGTGAGGCAGGCTGCGTTTGGCCTTTGCCCAGCACTGACCCACCAAGCTGTACAGCATCAGCATCTTCTGCTCTTCTTGGATATTTATGGGGTTCACCAGGAGCTGAAAGAGACCTACAGGCACAGGGTGAAGCCAAGGGTCAAAAGATGGGTCCTGGACCCAGTCTGGCCCCTGCCCACTCATACCTTTTGTTTCCATACTCACCAATGGCCAGGAGCCCCCCAGTGCCTGCCCCCAGCAGGAAAGCAGTGACAGGAAACTCGCCCAGCTGGCGCCACAGGAAGCGGCTGTAGGAGACTGGCAGCCCCCAGCTCAGAAGCTTCTGCACCGCTGGGAGGGGACAGTTGCTCTCAGTAGCCCACTCCTCTGGCTGAGAGGTAGCTTGTGAGGTTACGGGTTTGCAGGAGGGAGAGAGGCTGGGAGAAGATGAAGGACCCTGAGGAAATGGGCCTATGCTGGAGGGGGCCACTGAATGAGAGAGGTGGAGGCTGGGGGACTCCACAGTGCGGGAATCTGTGTGGGACCCATGTGGAAGATGGGGCAGAGGAATGGGGTTGGGGTAAGACCTCCGCTGACTCACTGGAATGGGGCAGCCTCCGTCTTTGCCCTTTGGTTCCATTCTGATAATGTTTAATGTCCATGAGTCTGTTCTGGGGATGACCCTCTCATCCCAGAAGGCCCTGCAAGGATTTCCTTGGACAGGAGGTCCTGGTGAGAGAAGAGCAGGGTGCCTGTCTCCTCGGTCTCACTGGCAGCCTAGGCCTGAGCCCTGCGTTTTCACTCCCTCTGTTTTGAGAAGTGGAGAAGATTAGACACCTACCTATCCCGACCCAGTCCTTGGAACTGGGTAGAGGATTCCCAGATAGATGCAGTAGAGCCCTTTGGAACCTTGGAATATGGTGAGAAATTCCAGGAGCACGGAACTTGGTAGGCCTCTCCTGGAGACGGGCAAACGTTTGGTCTCAGCAGCCATGCCCCAAGTCTCAAAGGAAGCTGCACGCTCCCTGTGGGAAGAGGAGCCTGGCGTGGCACGAGCTTTGGTCCGCAGTGTGGGGGGCTTCACACTGGGCTTGTTGCTGGCCACAGCCTATGGGCTCCTGGAGCTGTTGGTGGAAGGGCACAGCCCCTGGGGCTGCCTGGTGGGCACCCTCACTCTGGCTGCCTTCCTTAGCCTGGGCCTGGCATTCTCCCGTCAGGTCCGAGTCACTGTCTTCTTGCTGCTGCCCCAGGCCTTCTCCAGTGAGTCTGGCACCCCGGGAGAGGACAGATTCTAGAGCAGAGGCTGGGGCAGGAAGGATCTTAGGGGAGGCAGAAAGTTAAGAGAAATATTCTGAAGGCTTACAAGGCCAGGGTCCTGGTTCTGATGGAGCTGTCACCTCTAGGGCAGGGTCGGACACTGCTGTTGGTAGCTGCCTTTGGGTTGGTGCTGCAAGGGCCTTGCGCCAACACCCTACGAAACTTCACCCGGGCCAGTGAGGCTGTAGCCTGTGGGGCAGAGCTGGCTCTGAACCAAACCACTGAAGTGTTGGAGCGGGCCAAGCAGCCCCTTGTCAGTGAGTGTCCCCACCCACTGCCCTCGCTATCTCCTGCTGGCCTCCATAGCCTCCTCTTGCCCTGCTTGTCCCGCAGTCCCCTGGCTTCATTCTTCTCTGTTGAAATTGTTTCCTACTCTGAAAACAACCAGGTCTGACAAGGACCTCTGAGCCCTGTTAGAACCCGTACCTGGGGCTCTCTGGCCCCTCTGCTCTCAGATTACCTCCCAGGCACAAGTACCCAGGCTTGTGTCCTCTGGGATAGCAGCACCTCTGGACTGCCTGCTCCACGGCAGAGCAAGGAGGCTCATGATACTCCACACCTGCCACCCAGGTGCCCTGAACAAGATTAAAGCTATCGCCTGGAAGACTAAAGAGGTGGCTGACCGGGTCCGCAAGTTCTTTCGGTCTATCATGGATGGTGTGAAGCATATAGGTAAGCACATTACTATGTCTAATTTGGGGGGAAGTCAAGGTGTACCCAGTCTTTTCACCCTCACCCCTCACTCCCATCCAGCTCTCTTTGGGTTCCTCCCTGGGCTGACTAGTATCCGCTGGACACAGCACAGCCAAACCCCTGACCATGGGCCTCTCTAGCTCTGGGTGTGGTGCTACTGTTTCCCGAACTCCAACAAGTGGCCGTGGGTCTCCAGCCCTGGGTACCAGCCCCATGGTTGTCCCCAGCCAGAGCCCTGCGAAACGTGTGGTACTGGCTCCTGCACATTGGTGACGTGTGCAACTCAGAGCTGGGCAACCCTTACTTGAAGTGTGCCCAGGTTTTTGATGACGCCAAGGACAAATGCACGAAGATCCTGCCACAAGTCTACCATCTGTGTTACGCGCTCATGCCCTTCAAACTGGTGCTCTGTGGACTTGCCAGCTGTGAGAAAGCCAGGCCTTGATGCAGGGAGGAGCTGATGTGGGCAGGGGCCTGGTGTAGAAGTGTGGGGGGTCACTTGGGAGGGCTGGCCCGGGGGAGCAGGAGGGGACAACAAATATGGAACCAGTGAAGATGTTGGACCCAGCGTGGGGTGCACAGGGAGTGCACAGCAGGTAGTGGAGGGTGGGCAACATAGAGGGGCTAAAAGGTCTTAAGCCAGTGGTTCTCAACCTTCCTAATTCCACAATATATTTTCATTGTTAAAAAGGTGTCGTGACCCATAGGTTGAGAACCGCTATTTAAGCAAATGCGGAGGCTAAGAGGCCCTGTTAGAAAGGGTGTTCCTGGGAGGTGGGAGGTGGGGTCTGTCTCTGCCCTTCCTCCCAACACTCAGCAACCTCCCGCTCTCAGTGGTCCAGGTATTCTGTGTCATCCCTAAGTACATCCAGCCCTTCCTGCGCAAGACCATCGGCACCCGTGAGTGACCCCTCCTAACTCCTGCCACACGGTGCTCCCAAAGGGTCACCTTCCCACACCCCGGTATGGCTGTTCCCAGGCCAAGTTCCCATTCCACACATGAGAATGAAAAAGCAGAAAAGGACCTCAGGAGGTTCCCCGGGCCAATGACTGTGCTGGGGAGGTGCCTCATCAAAGCTTGACTTCAGAGAGGTGCCCGTAGCTTGGTGGGTAGGTTGTTGGCCACATACACCGAGGCTGCCAAGTTTGAACTTGGCTCGAGCCAGCTAAAACAACAATGACAATTACAACAAAAAATAGCTGGGCATTGTGGCAGGCGCTTGCAGTCCCAGCTACTTGGGAGGCTGAGGCAAGAGAATCGCTTAAGCCCAAGAGTTGGAGGTTGCTGTGAGCTGTGATGCTAGAGCACTCTACTAAGGGTGACAAAGTGAAACTCTGTCTCAGAAAAAAAAAAAAAAGCTTGACTTCAGAGCAGCTGAGAACAGGACCAGGGCCATATGGAGCACTTTTTACGTGCTGGACATAGGCCAGGTGCTGAGTACATATGGTGGTGGCCCAGATATGGGGCTTTGTCCCCTCCTCTGTAGGCCTAAGCACTGGGGCTCCCAGCTAGTCTGTGAGGTGCCAACCCCCTCGCTGTGCACAGCCGCCCTCTCCCAACTCTCTTGTTCACTCCGGCACTTGCCCCAGCTGTGAAGAAGCTGATTAACCGGGTGCGACAAGAGTTCGAGTTCAACATGACCATCACCCATCACTTCTCCGTGGATCTCAACGCCTCTCGGAGCCTGTCCCAGGTGGCTGTGGACCTCCATGAGGCTGTCAGCATGAAGCTGCACCGTTTCCGGGAGGCCCTGGCTCTCATGGGCTATACCACACCACTGCTGCTCACCCTGCTCTACCTGCAGTGAGGCTGAGGGGGCATCCCAGGTGGGTGGTGGTGCCTGCAGGGTCTGGGCACGGTGCTGAGGGCCTCACATGTGCTGCACACCCCACCAGAGCCCTGTTTTACCGCTACTGTTACCTGCACTGGGATCATTATGACAATGTCTACATCACCAGCCGATTTCTAAGCATGGAGGCCGCGCGCTCTGCTGCAGGGCTGCCCACAGTGCTGCCGCTCAGCGCCCACGAGGCTGCTCACTACATCCAGCCAGGTGTGGTGCTGAATGGGGGCCAGAGAGGCCAGGGCTTTCTTCGGTCCCACAGCCCAGACTCTGAGCCGCTGAGGGGCGAGGGCAAGGGGGAGCAGAGGAGGGACAACTCAGAGCTTAAGGGAATTTAGAGCTGAGGGGAAAATACAGTCCTTAAGGAACTCTCAGTTGGCCAGGAGAATGCAGCTTCCCCTGGAGAATGCAGACAGACCAGAAGGGCAGGAGGTGCTTCTGGGTCACGCAAGCGGGGCAGACATGGAATGCACAGTGAAGCTGGGAAGACTTTCTAGGACGGGAGCAGGAAGTATGAATATGTTAAGATGGAGAGAGGACCACCTGTGAGGTGGAAGCGGGGTAGGGGGATGATAATGAGACAGGAGGGAGGGTTCCTGAGGCCCCGCCCAGGTGGAGATGCTAGGCCAGCTCCTCCCTAGCCACGGAGCCTGCTGACCCTGAAGTTTCCCACCCTGGCTTTAGATCTTCACTGCTTCCTTTTCTTTCCTCTTCTTGATGATCAAACAGGCCCCAGTTTGAGCAGAGGCAGGAGCCTTCTCCAGGAGCTGGGGTCTGGAGGGTGGGAGCACTGGGGAGCACCCTTCTAACTGTGTCCCCCACTCAGGCTCCATCTTCCTGTCCCGATGGGAGCAGTTAGTTTATGTCATGGAGACCTTCAACCTCATAGGACACCTGTTCCTCGTGCTGCTCCTGGTCTTCCTGGACTATACTGTCTTCTGGGTGCTTGACCTGGCCCGGTACCAACTGCAGGGGGAGATTGTGGCCCGCAGTGAGTATCTGTGCCTCCTCCTGCACCCACTGCAGCCTGGTCTGCTCCTGCACCCTCCTGCTCCAGCCTTCTCTTTCTCACTCTCAGCCCTGGAGCACCGCCTGAATGTCCTGAGTCTCTGCTACTTACAGCCTCTGATGGTGCCCTTGTTCCAACTCTATCCTCTGCCCAGGTTCAGTTTGGAAAATAATAGAGCAGTTAAAGACATAAGCTCTAGTGTTAGGCTGGCTTGGGGTTCAAATCCCAGCTCAGTCCTTTACCAGGAGGTGACTTTAAGCAAGTTGCTTCACCTGGCAGGGCTCCAGTGTCCATCAGAGCAGTGTGGTGACAATGTTAGCAGTCTCTCTGGGCTACTATGGGGAGGAAATGAGATCATGTCCACTGACCACCTGGTAGCCCATTTAGACCACTGAGAGTGTGCCGCAGTCAAGGAATGTAATTAATCAAATTCTGCGTGCCAGAGGACCAACAGAAAAAGTGTGTGATGGCTCACACATAGCTGTAATCTTAGTACTCTGGGAGGCCAAGGGGTGGCTTGGGTGGCTTGCTTAAGGTTATGAGTTCAAAATCAGCCTGTGCAAGTGCAAGACCTCCTCTCTATTAAAAATAGAATAACTTGCCAGGTGTTGTGGGCACCTATAGTCCGGCTACTCAGGAGGCTGAGGCAGGAGGATTGCTTGAACCTAGTAGTTTGAGTTTTCAGTAAGCTATGATGGCACACTCTACCCAGACCCTCTAAGGGGTCTGTCTCAAAGAAAAAGAAAAAAAAAAAGCAAACAAAAGACAATTCCCAAATAAACAATGAAGTGCTGAGGCCAGTGCCTACCACACAGTCAGTGCTTCCAAACCTGTGGGCTCCATCTGTGGGAGGTCTGGTGGCTCTACTGCAGCTTCCCTACAGTTACAGGAAGATCTTTGGGGAGGGTGTCAGGACACCCCAGAATCCAGGAACCGGAACTGTAGACATTTAGGGATGTGACCACAGAATTTTCTCCAAGAGGGCAGGTATAGCTGACCCAGCTCAACATGGTTTATGTAGGGAAATGATGTTGGAGAATACAGAAACCTGGGCTCCCTGGGTTTCACTGTCTCTAAGCCAAACCTGATTACCTGTCTTGGGTGTGAAGAGACGTGAACAGCAGCAGGACACCCAGCTCCCAGCTGTGCCTTCTCAGTCCATTCAAGACCATTTTGCCAAGTAGGACATAATTGTTTCCTTTCAAAAGATGGTACTGAGAAGATATGGAAGCTATGGCCTTGAGAATTTAAATGTAGTGAAATGCTAGGAGAGTGTGGAGTGGCCAGAGATGGTCGCCTTAACACCGCCTGCCCCATCAGTGTCCTCCGTACCATCACAACCAACTCTAGGTGAGCTAGGTTGCATGAGGTTAAAGTAAAATCCTTAATGTGCGTTGGCCACTGCTGTTTCTGTGCTGGATCCTACACTGCTGAACCCTTAATCTTCATGAGAAGCAGCCGATGTTAACTTGCTGAAGAAGGAGACACCATGAGAAGGAGAACCAAAGTGCTCATCAACAGCCAGCTCAGCCAAGAAGCACAGCTGCCCAGTCAGTCACTAGCTGACCACACATTCCTGAAGGAGTCCAGATGAGACCAAAAAAATGACTCATCTCAGCACAGCTTAATATTGCTCACCTACCCAATCATGAGCTAAAAAATAAAATACTAAAATAAAATAAAATAAATGCTTCTGGGTGGTCATGGAAGCAAGGGGTGGACTCACTGCCTATTAAGGTCATCTCAGATCTGGTGGCCTGGTCAGGCAGACTAGATACCAGTGCCACCAGCCTGGACCATGAGCCAGTCCCATTGCAGGCCCCAGGATACCAAAAGGATATCAGCGGCCACTAGTTAGAGGTATTGGCCCTGCCTATGGCGGGACTGCTCCACTTCCCACCTTCCAGACTGTGTGGCCTCTTCTGTATGGTTTAGGGGCAAATGCCAGGAGCACCACTTACACAGTGTCTTTGTGCCAGGCCCCGTGTTGGTCTCTATAACCGTGGAAGGGACTGGCTATGCTGGGAATATTTATCGTGACCTGGTGTCGGCATTTGACATCCTGCAGCAGGGCAACATCAGTATTTTGTCCCCGCGCTGCCTCCTGCGTCCCTCAGAGCCCAATGCCACTGGCTACCTAGTAATCGGTATTAACTACACTCTGAGGGCACTGGGGGCATGAACTGCCGGAGGGGCGGGAGGCCAAGGGGCATAGCAAGCACCTCGTGCACACTGCAATGGTCACTGTGCTCACTATGTCCCCAGGCATCATGTATGGCCTGTGCTTCTTTGTCACTCTGTTTGGCAACTACATCAGTCGGCTGCGGCGGGTCATCTGTGCCTCCTACTATCCGTCCCGGGAGCAGGTGAGCAGCCCCCACTCCTTCCCAGGATGGTAAGCTATGGCTGTCTTGGCTTTGGGAGCCTCACACTCTTCAGCACTCTCCTCTGGCTGAACCCAACGCACATTGTCTGGGCTGCAGGCCTCTAGACCCCAATGGGGCTTCCTGAGACAGCACTTGCCTCCAAAGTTTTGTGAAAACTGTGGGGAACAGGGGCAGTGTTGGCACATCGAGGTGTACATTCATTTTCTCATCGCTCAGGGATGTGACCACAGAATTTTCTCCAAGAGAGCAGGTATGCTATGAGCACCTACTGCATGCTGTCACCAGGCTGGTCTCTGTGACGCTGAGATGAGCAGCGCAGGCTGGACCTCACAGTCCAGCAGGTTTTGAACCAGACATTGCAATTTAAGATTTATTTTTATTTTTTATTTTATTTATTTTATTTTTGGGGGATAGAGTCTTGCCTTGTAGCCCTTGATGGAGTGCAATGGGGTCATAGCTCACAGCAATTTCCAACTCTTGGGCTTAAGCGATTCTCTTGCCTCAGTCTCTCAAGTAGCTGTGACTACAGGTGCCCACCACAATGCCCAGCTTTTTTTTTTTTTTT